GAATCATGAGGTCAAAGGAACGGCCAAACTGAGCTATTGGGGGAGAAGAGCCTTGGTGAGAGAGGTACAGAAGAACCCAAAGATGACTGTGGCTGAGCTCCAGAGATGCAGTCGGGAGATGGGAGAAAGTTGTAGAAAGTCAACCATCACTGCAGCCCTCCACCAGTCGGGGCTTTATGGCAGAGTGGCCCGACGGAAGCCTCTCCTCAGTGCAAGACACATGAAAGCCTGCATGGAGTTTGCTAAAAAACACCTGAAGGACTCCAAGATGGTGAGAAATAAGATTCTCTGGTCTGATGAGACCAAGATAGAACTTTTTGGCCTTAATTCTAAGCGGTATGTGTGGAGAAAACCAGGCACTGCTCATCACATGACATAAACCCAAATGAGCATCTCTGGAGAGACCTGAAAATGGCTGTCCACCAACATTTACCATCCAACCTGACAGAACTGGAGAGGATCTGCAAGGAGGAATGGCAGAGGATCCCCAAATGCAGGTGTGAAAAACTTGTTGCATCATTCCCAAAAAGACTCATGGCTGTATTAGCTCAAAAGGGTGCTTCTACTAAATACTGAGCAAAGGGTCTGAATACTTATGACCATGTGATATTTCAGTTTTTCTTTTTTAATAAATCTGCAAAAATTCTGTTTCTGTCAATATGGGGTGCTGTGTGTACATTGAGGGGAAAAAAATGAACTTAAATGATTTTAGTATATGGCTGCAATATAACAGAGTGAAAAATTTAAGGGGGTCTGAATACTTTCCGCACCCACTGTATGTTTGCAAAGGTTTGGATACACATTTCCATTCAATTCGGTGAGAAAGTGTGTCCAAACCTTTGACTGGTCATGTATAGCTGTGATAAATATGTAAGACTATGTTTGTATGTTTATATTGCCTCTCTTTTATCCTTTGTAACCTCTGGCTGTGAAAAGCTCTAAAAATAAACTGGAACATTATTTACTTTTTTTTTTTTTTTTTACTAAAAAGTGTTTAGAATAATGTTTATTCTGCCCTCCCTGATGTAAATAGGGTAGACACAATATGAGAAATCCCACTCACCGAACATTATTGCCTTCCTGAAAGGAGGACTTACCGTAGCATTGTTGAGTCAGACTGCATCACTTTTAGCTGCCTGTACCTTATAAACTGGCAGTGTATGTGATGTCAACCTCACGAGAGGATTTACTAAGCCTAGGAATGAACCAAACACTAGCACAACCATGTCTTCTTGTTTAAGCAAAAAGAATTTGGTTTATGTAGAAACAAGCAATGTTTTGCAATTGGATATTTCCCTCTCCTTCAAAAAAGTTAAAGCTAAAATAAAAAAAGAAATTAATACCCATCCCATTGCACCCAGAATCGCCACCATGTGAAAATGTATGCAGATGTTACTGAATATTAAATTGTGTTAGGATTCAGCATCTTTCACTACACAGCATTAAGTTGGTGTGTCTGATTATCTTTTTTTTTCTATAGTTTTTTCTTCAAATCCTATCATATAAACCAGAGGAGAGTCAAAGCTAAATAAATGAATCAACTAACAAACAAACGTGGGGAAAAAAAAAAAAAGGAAACTAAGCAAGAGACGAAAGGCCTCTGCCCCTGATCCGCTTACCCTCCCCCCCAGTTCCCGGCAGAGGGGGGAACTAGCACGGACGAGGTGGGACAGACCCGTCCAGCTGTACAGCGCAGTGAAACATAACTTACATATTAGCTCATTTGTACACGTACAGTCGTGATCAAGGCACAGGGATCTTCTACAAGTTCTTTTTTTCTTCAGTAAAGTTGTACAAAATAATACATTTTACAGTCTGTACAAGAATAATAGTCCAGCAGTAAAATAAAGCAGATGTACTTAAAGCCAGGAGGGGGAAGAGGTGGGACTGAGAGAGGTGAGAGGACAAGTTAGTGGCTAAATCATCAGAGCTTTAACCATACAGAAAGTAAGTGTGTGTGTGTGTGTGTGTGTGTGTGTGTGTGTGTGTGTTCCCAGGTAAAAATGTTGCATCCAGTTTCAATATGTCCATTTGACACTTTTGACTTTATGCCTTCCTCTTGTGTTGTTTTTGTCCTTTTTAAATAACATTGCTCCTTTATTTTCCATATGTTGAGAAGTACTCAAACAGCAGCAAGGGGTCAATAAGTATATATATGTGTGTGCAGGTGAGGGGGTTTAAATGGGGCACAAAGGCAGATCACACACAGTGTACGCCAACACACAACATGTATAAACTAACAAACTTAAAAGTTGAATTGTGTTATTACAGGAATATATAATATTTATATATATATATATATATATATATATATACATATTTATATACACATATATAAATATCTATATATATAGCTTGGATTTTTTGCACTGCATGAAGTTCACTGGTATGAATGAATTTATGCACTGTATGGTATTTTTCTTTTTTTGTTGTTTTCTGCCATCCCTCCTTGTCTGGTTTCTTGAAGAACAGGTCATGTGAGTCGTGTAGTCTTACGTTTGAGCCACGCTCGCGTCCACAGGCAGTCGCTAGTCAATTAGTCCGTTGTCCGGCACAAAAAAGGCTGACAGCCCTCCACTGTATCGCTTTGCCACCCTCCACATCCATCTTTTTCTTTCTTCTCTTGCTCCTGGTTCATCCTCAGCACGCGGTGAATAAACTAGCTCTGTCTCAGGATGCATTATTTAACCCAGCCTCTGCCAACTGCTGAAAGCAGGACTTTGTTTTAAAAGGGTCTGTGACTGTGATATGAGACATTAAAACCGATCTAAAGGTTCTGAATGTCTTATGCTGTAAAGTGTGTGTACCTGTGTGTGTTCATATATCTGAGAGAGAGAGAAAAAGAGAGCTAAAAGGAGGGACAGCCTGCACTGAGAGATTCCAGTCTTGACCCTCCTTCCTGGGTTGAAAGTGGAGCCGAATACAGCAGTTGGCCTTGGCTAATAGTTAATGAAACTGTTGTTGATGTATCCTTAACTGTGTTTCTTCTTTTTTATAAAAAGGTCTTTTCACTGTTTTGTTTTTCTGAAAATGTGTTACCAGGAGAGGTTGTGTCAGGGTGGAGGGGAGGGCAAGCGGTCTGTCGCTCGCTCAGTTGTTTAGTAAAGTTGGTGGAAGTGGAGGGGATGATTTGCTAACTGGTTGTGGGGGGTAGATAGGTAGGTAGATAAGTAGGGCGGATGCCGCTGCCCATCACAAGAGCTCATACTGTCTCAGGTGCATCCTCTGTATGATGTCGCGACAGTCATTGAAGACACGGCGGATGTTTTCTGTGTCAACCGCGCAGGTAAAGTGGGGGTAACAGTAATGCCGTCCATCCCCGCTGGCTGTGCTGATCCTCTGGAAGAGACACAGATCGAAAGAAAAATCAGCGTTATAGCACAGTGGCTCATGGCATTTTCTGTCTGATGTAACGTCACAGCCTTCTCATATGGACACAAGAGATTAATACATTTTAAACTGCATATTGTTCAGGCCGTTTTGGTCATGTCTGCATTCATACTACACCACTAGCACTGGCAGACATGAGACATTTAGGCAGGTAGGTAGGACTTTAATGATCCCGCAATGGGGAAATTCCTGTGTTCCAGCATCAATAGAGAGCAGCAACAAAACACCAAAGGAACAAACACCACACACATATCGTGAGAAACAAATTCCAAAGTACCTAAAACCAGACAGAATATAATATTTGAAAGACAATGAAGAACAAGAATGACCCTCCCACAATTAATCCCTGAGAACAAATGAAAAATACCTAAGAATAAGATAAAATATAGTATTCGAGAGAGACCAATAAGTCAAGGACAAGAATATTACTCCCATAATAAATCTGCAATGGGGGAAATACCTGTATTTCAGCCCTGGGGACCTCTGAAAAACTACTCAAAAATACCTAAAGCAAGCCAATATAAAGTATTCGAGAGAAATCAACAAGATTTTACATATGTGCATATTTACAATGCATTTTACCCCCAGGATTTGAGTGCTGCACCTCAGCTGACTATTACATAGCCCCTCATAATTTCACCTATCTTATCACTGCAGTGATAACTGTGGGGAGGAATGACCTGCGGTAACGCTCCTTCCTACACTGGGGATATAACAGTCTTGTGCTAAAGGAACTGTTCAAAGCCTCCACTGTGTGGTGCAGGGGATGGGAGGGGTTGTGCATGATGGATGTTAGTTTTACCAGCATCCTTCTGTCCACCACCTCCTCGATGGAATCTAGGGGGCAGCCCAGGACAGAACCAGCTCTCTTAACCAGCTTGTTAAGTCTCTTTCTGTCCCTGTCCGTGCTACCTACTGCCCAACCCACAACAGCGTAAAAAACTGTAGATGCCACCACAGTATCATAAAATGTGTGAAGGAGTGTCCCGCACACCTTAAAGGACCTCAGTCCATCTCAATATCTGAGCCCTGAAAGCTCACCGGCGTCAGTGATGGTGATTTCTGCCGGAGGTCAATCACCAACTCTTTTGTCTTGCTGGTGTTCAGGACCAGGTGATTTTTCTCACACCGCTCCACATAACATTTCAAGCATTTATCCATTTTTAATTAACTACTTCAACTGTTTATCCATCGGTTTTAGCTATTTCAAACATTTACCCACTACATTTAGTTAACTTATTCATGAATGTATCCATTACTCTCTAGTAACTGATCTCAAACATTTATCCATTACTTTTAGCTAGTGTTTTCACCTGTTGAGATGTTTTGTCAACTTGCTAGCTAGTTTAGCATAGGTTTGCTCACTGGTGGATAGAAGATCGCATATATGTTTAATGGAAAATTATTAATGAAAAGATTCAAACATAATCCTGGTAAATGAGAGGCTTCATTCACACTAGGTTTAGAAAGGCTGCTACAGTAAACCAAAAATTACCATTGCTGATGTTAGGTATTTTTAGTCAGATAGATATTGGATAGATACTTTATGTATTAGAAATGTTTAGTGGAGATAGGATGTCTAGTTAGACTGTTAAATGCTTAGGCCTGCTTATGAGTTTCTACAAGGTACATCTGGTCAAGGATACCAGAGAGAAGAGTTGATGACTGTCAGCAGACAGGGTGTTTAATATTATTATTACGACGTGTATAACTGTAGCCTTAGCCATAATATGTTCCTATGTTCAAGACACGACATGTACTAGAGGTCGTGAGAATGTTTTTAGTTACACACCACTTAACCAACAGACATACACATTCACACGTTGATTTGCTTCATGTTTTGACTACTG